ACCTGCAAATCTTGGATTGATTTGATTCAGCAGAATTACAGCAAAGAATCCGAACATTAGAAATGAGATGCTACAGAAGCATCCTAGGCATCTCCTACATAGACTGAATCATAAATAACACCATGGAAGATGCCATCAGGGAAGAAACAGGCCCATTGGAAAACCTCATTACCACCATCAGGAAAAGAAAGTTGAAATTGTATAGACATGTTATAAGAGTGAACAGTCTTTACACTGCTAAAGGTTCATTTTAGACAACAGAAGAGGCAAATAGAAAGGAAAAAATGGCCTGACATTGTTGCTAAGTTGACTGAAAGATCATTCTTGGAAACTAAGACATTAAAATGTAACTGGGACTGATGGAGTCAGCTGGTCCACTGGTCAGCTAAACAGTGATTCTATGACGAGAATTTGTTCATTCATTATAACACAGTACTACTTTAGTTTCTTGGTGCTGGGCATCTCATTCTGACAGTTAATCTTCCCGATCCATGTTGCATTGTAAGTCTTTGATCTGAGAAAGGCTTTGAAGCTGGTTGAAACTGCCTCACCAATGAGGGTGGCATGTTATAAAAATAAGAGAACCAACTTCAGCACAGACAACAGACTCTTGTTTTTTATAAACAAGCATAAATATTTTTTTTTCTGCCACGAGAGTTACAGCTATCAGTTTAACCTTTCCCAACTTTTGTGGTGCTGTAATCTAAGGCTTATTTGTAAGTTTGGGTGTATTGCCATTATTCACAATATACTTTTAAATTAATAGCAAAGGCCTGGACTGGTGATGGTAGTTGGTTCAATAATTCAGTCAGAGAAATTTGGTCTCTGGCTTTCAAAGTTGATCTCCAAAAGATTGTTTCTACCACTTCTGTTCAACCGTCAGTCTGCAAACCAAAACTTCTTAGGCTGTGGGAAAATTTGTTCAGTTCACCAACTCTCCTCCAGTACTAACTTGCAAGGCATGATCAAAGAGATGATGTTGTTGGCTTGCAGTGTTTTCCCTGGCAACTTGACTGTGACTACTGCCCCTAGTCAAGAATCAGCCTTCTTATATTGAGGTCTCTGGGCTAGAGGGTAATTTGATTTATTATCAAAGACAAATTAATATTTTTCAAAACTTCAAATTTTGTTTGTTCAAAGACCCCTCCCATGTTCTCTTATGCCTATTGACTAAAATACTTCTTGCCACAGATTTTTGGATGGGTTCAAGCTAGCTACATCAACTAGATTCCCTTAACTAAATACATGTTTTTTTACTCACCCAATACAAGGCCCAAGAGTCCCTCAATGTAGAGACTTAATGTTGGATGTGATATGACTGTAAGAGGAGGAAGTAGGAAGTGTTATAAAGACATGGGGGATAGGCTATGATTAGCCAGAGACAAAAGAAAGAACTAATTTTCTCAGCTGCCCATACATTTTCAAACTTCACTTTGTTTCTCTGTTTTCCCAAGGATGGGCAATATGAATGATTGACAGCAACAATCCATCATTTTCTTAACAAAGAAAGCTTTGTTCAGGTTTTATCTACTTTGTCTGGATTTTGTCTCATGGCCATTTTGTTTCTCTTGATGTTTCATTTAAATGTTTTATCCTGAAGATAATTTTTAAGCTAAAATCTTTCAGTTTTTTTTTCATCTGGGATAACATACAAAAGTCTTTTCAATGTCTTTTGAGACCACCAACTTGTATTCAATGCTTGCTTTTTCTGTGATTTTTAGTACAAAATAGCAAATCTCGTTTTAAGTAGAATGTTGTCATAAATAGGAAAGGTTGACGCACACATGGAAAATAAGTAGTTTATTCTGGAGAATAATATAGTAAACAGTTGAGAACACAGACTAATGTAATAAAAAGTTAATCGTTAACTCCTCAGCATTTACCCAAGACTGCCCTACAAGGCAGGATGTGGCACAAAGCCAGTTTTTAAAGTGAGGCTTTCCAAGCATGTATGCTTCAGCCAAAATTCCCTGTAGACCCCATATACACATGGCTGAACAGCTGTCTACCACTCTAAACAAGACTCTGCTCATAAACATAGCCTTATCAGGGTTCCTCTCTGCCTGAAGGACTAGCAGAGCTTTAACAAACTGTAATCATTAACTCCCTCAGTAAGATAAGTCTTTGGCCAGGCCAACTTGTGGGGGTGTTCAGCTACTCCACAACATAGAATAAACAAACTCCACGGATTTTCTGGATCTTTTATATGTTGTGTGCGTTCAAAATGTGGGTGATGTCTTTCCACAACTTGCAATCCTTTCTGGCTCTTAACAATGTTTGTCTCTATATTATCCTTTCCGTTCTCTGTTCTGCCATCCCTTTATATAGTAGTACATCAGAGTATTGTGACATACTTAACCACATATGTCGTAACTATGTGGTTTGAACTGGTGTTTGGTGACTATAGTGGTTGTTTCATATTGGACATTATTGGTTGTGTTGCTACATGAAGTCTCCACAGACTGTCTTCAGGTAAATACACCAAAGTCATACTGTTTCTTACTGAAAGTCAAATCAGGCATCTTTTCACCAGAAGTTTTTTCTTTTTTGTATTAAATAGCCTCATGCATATGGTCTGTATTGGCTACTTTTATTATCTCCAATACTCCTCTCACACACTTTGCCAACCTATGTCTTTGCTACTAAGCAAAGCCTTCTCACTGAAGAATTCTGGAAAAAGAAGCTTTTTTTTTATACTAGGAACTCTTACCTTCTTACTAATCACTAGTCAATTTATGGACCAATACAAGAAAACCACCACATCCTTCTTTCTCCTGTTTTGTGTGGGACTTATAACCACCAACTGACCCTATTTCAGAAATATGATATTTTTCATAGAACCTTTGTGTGTCTTTATTCAGATATTTCTTTTCTCTTATTGCTTAACCTTAATTTATTCTCTTAGATTTTATCATGTCATGAAGCTGCCTCAAAGTTAGTGAAAGGGAATAGAACAAAGTAAATGGCACTTGTTGCTGGATAAATCTGAAAAGAGCTCTTGATTAGATCACAATAGGTAGGGAGGAGTAGATGTGATAGGCAACAGTAAACTACTGAAGAACTCAAAATTGATTGCTGCATTTAAGTATTGCATTAATATTTAAGCTTACCTTTATAAAAATTCAAAGATAATTCTTCTACCAACACTTAATTTTTAAAACATTTTGATGTACGTAGGTCCTTACTTTCTGTAGAAACAATTATTTTTATTTCACGGCTGACTTTCAATGGATTTTGCAATTAATTTCAATTGTCCCCAAAATTATTTCCAAGTCATAAAAATTTTTATTGTAGAAAAATATATGCCACAAAAAAATCATGTAAAAAATCACAGTAATGGAAACTTGGGAATCCAAAATTTCAGGAATGTGGGTCCATATCTGGCTTGGAATTTTTTAAATTTTTTCATGGAGTTGGCCTTATTCCAAAATGGTATATGTGTCAGGCTACAGCCTCTAGGAGCAAAGTTGAAAAAGTGTGACACAGTGACACACACATAGTAATTTTTTAAACAATTTTTTATCCAACAAGGTTTTGAATTACCTATTTATGCTTTCACTAAATAAGGAATTCAAAACCTTGCCCTATCAGGATGATTTCTGTAGCTGAACTAATAGACATACCATGACTCAAAAAATGGTTTCCCTGATGGAAAAAATGGATGCAGGTTCAATTCCTGTCAGAGGCACAATCCTTCTTTAGTAGGATTTCTCAATTTAGGCCAGTTGTTACTAATTTCACTGTTTAAGAAAATAAAAAAAAAAACAAAAAAAAAAAACAGTGATAACAGCTCAAACCTGTGTAGCCACTAAAAATTACATTTATAATAACAAATACACACACACATATATTTTTTTTAAATCATAATTTATTAGATTATGGAGGTTTTTGAAAATAAAATGTTTTACTTAATCATTAAAATCTGTTCAAATATTTAGAATTTGCCATTTGGGTATAATTATGCTACCAGACAAATACTGTTTTTAAATTATAGTCTAAATTCAGGAAGGGCATTTTGCGGTAGCATAAGTTTCTGTGAAGTAGTCAAAGACAACAATTAAGTTGACTCAAATAAACGGACTATGTTGTGTTTGTGAAATTCTTCATCCATAAAGTTCTTTATATTTCCTGCTGTAACCTTAAGTTGAAAACATTTCCTTAATTTTATTTTAGTTCTCTTATTGAAAACGCAGCAAAACAGATGTTAACTGTTTGTATTTATATAATATAAACACAAGATGTAATTTTTTCATGATGATCAACCTGACTTGGCTCAAGACGAGCCCACATTAATGAAATGCAAAGTAAACAACAAATTGCTCCAAATTAGTTCTCAAAATGGTAGGTGCTCATGTTTATTTAGAAACTATAACTGAGTTCAACACCTGTTCAAATTGGTGGAAATAGGGGTAGAAAGATTGTTTCATCTATAGCCCTTTTTAAGCTTTTTAAAAGATTTTTCTTATTAAAATCCTAATTTTCATCTGCATACATTTATTTTTATGGTTATTTACACAATCTAGCAGTGGCAACAGGAGGGGGAAACCCAAAGAGGATTGAGCTCACAATATTTGTGTCAATTCCTGTAAGATAAATTTGTCAAGAGTTACATTTTATTACACCAGACTTCTTTCCTTTATGTCTATATCTTGGAAGATATGTATCAACAAAGCATCAGTTTAAGTGTAACTATACATTCAATAAAACATGATTGTGAGTGTAATATATATATATATATATATATATATATATATATATATATATATATATATATATATATATATATATATATATGTGTGTGTCTCTCATATATATATATGAGACACACACACATGCATATACATATGTGTGTATATGTTACCTACGGCCATGTGTATATTAGTGACTGGTTAGAATGTTTGCTTTCCAACCATGAGCTCTGGGTTCGAATCTCACCATGGTTAATTTTTCAGGAAATTAACTTTTTGATGTTATTGGTCATCTTTTTCTGTTTACTGCTTACAGCCACATCATGTTGAAACACCACTTCCCATACAATCACTGAAGTTAAGCAACATCAAGCATGGTTAGTACCTAGATGGGTGACTACTTGAGAATACCAGGTACTGTAAGCTTGGATGTGCAGGTGGTGTAATGGATAATGCCTTGGAATTGTTAATTGGAGAGATGAGTTCCAATTTCCATTGGGTTCATTAGTCATTTATGTGAAAATACTCTTGGGAAAAGTATGAATCCATCTCATCTCCTCTCAGCTATGGGTTAATTAGTAACATTTGTATCTTTAAAAACCTTCAAAGTGTTGATGAGTCAAAGAAATCAATCACTGATTTGCTGAACAGGAATGTCTTTTAGATTTATTTACATTCTCTGGGATATAAATGTAGAGAAACTACTGTGACCACAAAGTGATGGATCATTTTATATATTGATCGTAATATCGAATTGATCCCCCATTTTATATCCACAATATAATTTGTTGTTTATTAAATTCTGATAAGGTCTGAATCCATCTCTTCTCCACCCAGCTATGACTTAATTAGTAAAACTTGAATCACTAAATCATTATCTCCAAAAAGAATTCTTATAATTTAAAAAAAAAAAATTGTTGCTTCAAATAACCTGCAAAGGGTTGATAAGCCATAAAAAACACATCAATCTTCTGTTAATATTTGCAATGCCAGCATCATTAAATATTTTCTTACTGGTCAATCAACTTTTCTTTCCTTATTAATTTTTCTTAAATCTTTTTGTGACATTCTTGAAACCAGTTTTTATTCCTCTTTTGCCAATGTTTTTTTTTTTTTCTTCCTTTTTTTGATTATTCTGTGACCTGTTTCAACATTGTGTCCTCATCTCTAAATAATTTTGAAATATCTTTTTTCTATTTTGAGGATATATATTTCTTATGGTCCATGACAATCTTCATATGTTATATATTAAGAAATATTACACTATTGTATAATAAGGAGGCAAGGTAGAGTAGTGGACAGTGGCTCTGATTGAGTTCAAATTCCAGTCGAATCCATTACATTCACTTAAGTGCTAATGACTTTGGGAAAGGTATGTATCCTCTTCTCGCTCCAGCTATGTGTAAATAGCAGGACTGACTGGATTCTATAGCCTTGGATAGCAACTGGTCTAGGAGAAGGACAACTCTGAATTCAGAACTTGGGAGTGTTGTTTGGGGACCTTGTGACACGGAATATACCAGGTCTCTGTATTCGGCCCTTCAAAAAGTGTAGTTGGTTCTGCATAAAGCCTTCACCACTATAATCAAATCATATGTACTGGTGTCTGGGATACCAGTTCCTAGAAACTGAGCTCATATGCCAAATACAATGAGAGAGTCCACCATACTATTGTAACAGTATGAAGGTGGTTCTCTTTCTGTTGAGTATGTAACCCCATCAAAAAGGCTTGAGTCAGCCTGTGAATTAAATATGTAACGTCTTATTTTTGAATGTGAGGTCAAAAGAAAATTAAAGAAAAGCTGAATTAATCTAGATAGAAAGTAAATTGCAAAAAAAAAAAATTTAGATGTTAAAATAAATGAAATTGGTCATGGCAACGTTTAAAATCAGTAGATAATTTAGTAAACCATAAACTGTCTGCAACTAAGTAAAATCCTCAGCCTTATCTGCTTCAACCCTATTTTTGCCAAAAGGAGTTGACAACTAGAATCTGGATAACTTCAACCTTGTCACATGATGACCAGATTCATGTTTACTTAAGTAGTATTCACTGCCTCACTGTTTTTTATTATTTCATTTATTTTTTATCACTTAGCCTGGAAATTTTACAAATAGATTTTGCTTTAAACAAATAGACATTTTATTTTCACACAATGTTCTCAAAGCCAGCATTATTATTATTATTATTATTATTATTATTATTATTATTTAGTAGTTTCAGTTAAAATATCATTTTGCTAACATCTGCACAATATTTGCAAAACAGTTCAGATGCAGAAAGTTGATTTGCATTATTGTGGGTTTGCTTCTCATTGTGTGCAGATTGTACAAAGAAGCTGTTGAATTGTAACCATGTCATTTGTCATCATTTTCTGAATGAATACTGTCACTGTGTGTTGCAGGAAGACTTGTAAGGATCATGCAATCAAGGCCATGAAAATATTAATGAATTCAAAAGCAACACAATTTTCTCCCTTTTTTATCCTTATCCTACAATAAACCATAATCCAGATGACTATTACAATATAATTCCGTGAGACTTATTAACTTTAATTAGTGAACTTACAACCCCATGTTAAAATATGATAAATAAAAGTAAAACTACTGTTGGAAATTTAATGTTAGATAAAGAGTAATGATTTTTTTAAAGAAATCCTAAGATTATTTTTGTGTGTGTGTGTGTGTGTGTGTGTGTGTGTACACACACACATACAAGAGAGAGAAAGATATCATCACTCAATTGGAATCCCACTTCAGGACATTTTGATTGAAGCTGAGATAATTGATTGTTTAATAAATCATGACACTGTGTGTGTGTGTGTGTATATATATATATATATATATATATATATATATATGAGGTGCGTGGCCGAATGGTTAGAACATTTGCTTTCTGACCATGAGGCCTGGATTGGGATCTCACTATGCTCGATTCTTCTGGAAGGGAACTTCCTGATGTTTTCAAAATGGATCAAAGTCAATCCTAGTGTGTGGCACCTTTGGAAAGTGCCTGAAAACTACACCATAGGTTGACCCAAGCCTTGTGAGTGAAATTGGGTAGATGGAACTCTTGAGGGCCGCCGATAGCTGTGCTAGTACAATCATGCTAGATAACACTCTCTCTCTCTCTCTCTCTTAAACTAAGATCTGCTCAGCATAGTTGCAGCATAATCCACAGGTGGGTTCTGTGGGTGTCAAGCAAGCGTCTGCTATAAGTATTGGCTAGCTGCCCTAATAGAGAGGTATGCTTAAATACGAGTAGCCAGCTATTTTATATATAATCTCCCCGAATACAGGGTTGGTATAGATGGAATAAAATTCTGATAACCAAAACCACTATTTTAAAAAAATGAGACATCAGAAGTGTTGAAACAAAATGGCTATTATTGTAGTGATAACATACTTTAAATTTTTTAATATATATAAGTAAATGGATTAAAGCCAACATATTTTTAATGGATATTCATATTTGTGTAGATAGCCTGTTTTTTATTTATTAAACAGTATATTATTTATTTATTTACATCCACTGGCCTGAATATTCAAGAAATCTTATAAGAAAAATATGCATCTTCAGGATAGATTTAAACCTGGGAAAACAGTCATTAGATCTGACGAGCCTTGACCTCTTGATTATGTAATAATATCCATTAAAAATAATGTTTAAACAAATGAATTAAAAATGTCAGATTTAACACATTTCCTAAAAAATTGTCTTTGTTTATGTGAAGTTATGAAAGAGAGCAGATAGTTATATTTTGAGAATCACGAATGATGTGTTCAAAAGCACTATTTGAGCTCTGTTTGATCAGGAGGTCTTATGTGACTGAGAGGTCAAGGCACACCAGATCTAATGACATTTTCCTCTAGGGGAAGTGGGTTTGAATCCTCCTGGAGGGTACATATTTTTCTAATATTCTCAAATATTCAGTCCAGTAGATGGAAATAAATATACTGTTTAATAAATAAATAAAAACAGAGCATCTACTCAAATATGAGTATCCATTAAAAATAACATTTAAACAAATTATCTATATATTTATATAATTTTCAAAAACAAGGATCATAACATTCATCGAATGGTTAGTGGGTTAATGCATCTTTTAAAATTTGCTAGTGAAGGGATTTTGCCATTTTATCTCATTAACTTTCCTAATTTACTTTTGGTATGAATGATTCATTGTATAATATATATATGTTATTTTTATGGATAAAGACATTTAAGTAAATGCTCTGTTTATAATAAATGGTGTTAACAACATTTACCAGCCTGAATGTCCCAGAAATCTCAAAGAAAACATGTTTTCTGACAGGAATCAAACTTGTATCCCTACATGGAACTGCCAAATAGCCTGTTTAATACTGTTTATTATAAACAGAGCATTTATTTAAATATTTGTATCTATAAAAATAATATATAAACAAAAAATATATTAAAATAATTGTCAGAGACTGTCCATTAACATTATGTATATATAAGATTTAATCTTATTAAATCTTCTCTAGTCTGTTACCCCTCTCTTTAGATCTAACTTTCGTCCCACACTCTCATACTTACACTCTCTCTAAATTCTATTTTTTATTGCCGGAGTTGTTTTTTCTGTTTTCTTTTTGAAATTGTAGGTCTGATGAATTGGATCATATTTACGATTCCAATGGAATAAATTATGACCATGGAATATTAGTGTTTAAACCTTTTTTATTTATTTATTTATATATATATATATATATATATATATATATATATATATATATATATATATATATATATTTAATGGGCAATTACAATTTTTATTTAATGGGCATTAAATTGCATCACTTAGAATCCTCCATAGTTTATTTTACTCTCACAGTTAGCCTTAATATTTTTAAGCATTCTTAAATTTTTAAATTTAGAAAACCTTATATTTTTTTTACTTCTGTTTATAAATGCATTTTAGAAAATAAAATCCTTACATTTGCCTTGATAAAGTCCATCAAAGGATGAAATGTGTTGGCAAATAGTTTCCTTTTTGTCTTTTCATATTGTCATTTTACAGATATATATATATATATATATATTGAGGCAGCAGATCATTATTTAAACATATATTATTAAATATAACAGACAATGAATGTCTATTATGTCTAATCATGAGTCGTTTGAATGTTTGCTTTAATTTCTGGTGAAAATACAAACAATATCAAAATATCATCTTTGACAATGAATATCTTTTTGTTTCATGTCTGTATAACCACTCTGAGGATGGCTCATGTGAACCGAAACCTCAGAACCAACTTAATAAAAAAAAGTATCCAAATGTTGGACAATTTTTGTCTGTATTTTCACCAGAAATTAATGCAAACATTCGAACAGCTCATAATCAGACATAATAGACATTCATTGTCAGTTATATTTAATAATGTATATGAGTTGATCAA